GCATGCGGCCCCGACCACGGACACCCTCCTGAGTTAACCCCCCCAACTTTCCTCCAGTGAAGGACAGACTCTGACCTTGACCTGCCCCATATCCTGGGGCAGGCTGCTGCCTCCCTATCTGGCCTCTCAATACCCTCCACCCCGTGGGCCACCGTCCATGACAACCTTGGGCATTCAGCCAAACTTTCCAGCCCAGGGCTCTCCTTGAAGCCGATAAGCTGGAACTCCCCACAGTCATATCTGTGTTTTATTTCAATAACAGTAGTAAATTGGAAAATACCTAAATTACATTGGGTCTGTTCACTCAAGAATGTAATCATGTCATATTCTGCCTTAATATCAATGGAATTACCTGTGGTGGAAAGGGTAGACAGTTGTGTCAATTTGTGATGGAGTTTGGTTCAGCAAACATCCCTCTTCTCATAATTCTTCCAGACCACTTAGCCCTTCTCCTAGGGATTACCAACCATGCTGAGTCAGGGCTCGTTGGACAAATGAATGTTAAGAGCCTTCATTTTAAGGACACATCTATCTCTTTTCCATCATTCTTAGGCCAAGTCCCCATAGTGGGAGGGAGTCAGGGATTCTTCTCTACCTCTTGGCCCAGTCTTCCCACTCCAGATCTTGCCCCAGGCCTCCAATCCCCCCACCTCCTTCCTACACAGAGCCCATCTGTTTGTGTCCCTCCCCTCCCCCAAATCCACATGTTGGAATCCTGATGCCCAAGGTGCTAGTGTTAGGAGGTGGGGTCTTCTGGAGGTGATTAGGTCATGAGGATGGGGCCCTCATAGCTGATATTAGTGCCCTTATAAAAGAGGCACCATGTCTCACCCCCTCTGACATATGAGGATACAGTGAAAAATCTGCAGCTTGGTAGCGGGCCCTCACCAACACTGAATCAGCCAGCACCCTGATTCCACATGTCCAGCCTCCAGAACTGTGAGAAGTTAATGTCTGTTTTTTTCAAGTCACCCAATCTGTGGTATTCATTATAGCTGCCCGACCAGACTTAGACACCATCCAGCAAGCAAAGGGACCCACGTTTTCCTTAAAAGACAGTATAGTTTCTCAAAAATAAAGCATCTCCTTTGGTCACATAACCTGGCAGGCCCATGGCAAGCCACAGTCCCTGGCACGAGCACATCTATTCCTATCAGAAACTACATCCTGCAGCTCTGATGGATTTTTGCAGAGATCCATGATGGGCCATGGAACCTGTCAGCAGAGTCCAGGGCTGAGCCTGGGTCGGAGGTGTGGACTCAGGGTAGTGGATTGAATGGTGCCCCCCCCACCAAATTCATGCCCATGAGGAACCTCACACTGTGACCATATTTGGAATAAGGGTCTTTGCAGAGGTAATTAAGAATTTCATGATGAGGTCATCCTGAATTAAGGGTGGGCCTTAAATTCAATGACTGGTGCCTTTATAAGAAAAGGTGGGGGGGCACTTCCCTGGTGGTCCAGTGGTTAAGACTCTGTGCTTCCACTGCAGGGGGCATGGGTTCGAACCTGGCTGGGGAACCAAGATCCCGCATGCCACGCAGCATGGCCAGAAAGTAAAAATAAATTAAAAATTAAAAAATTAAAAATATATATATATAAGAAAAGGGGAAGGGACAGAGGGAAGGCAGCCATTGGGGATGGGGCAGAGATCGGAGGGATGCGGCCGCAAGCCCAGGAATACCAGGAGCCACTAGGAGCTAGAGGAGGTGGGAAGGATCTTCCCCTAGCGCTTTCAGAGGGAACACGGCCCTGCTAACACCTTGATCTTAGAATTCCAGGCTTCAGAACTACAAGAATAAATTTCTGTTGTTTCAAGCCCCCAGTTTGTGGTAATTTGTTACAGCAGCACAGGACCAAATACACCAGGTGCTATGAACTGAATTGTGTTTCCTCAGATTCATATGTTGCAGCCCTAACGCCCAATGTGACTGTATTTGGAGAAAGGCCTTTTAGGAGTAATAAGGTTAAATGATGTCACAGGGGTGTGGTCCTAATTTGATACGACTGGTGGCCTTATAAGAAGAGGAAGCGATCTCTTTTTCTCCCTCTCCACGAGCACACAAAGAGATCGTGTAGGCACACAGAGAGACGGTGGCCGCCTACAAGCCAAGAGAGAAGGCCTCAGAATGAAAGCTGCCTGCCAGCACCTTAATCCTGGATTTCCGGCCTCTAGAACAATAAGAAATGTTTCTTTTGTTTAGGTTGCCCTGTCTGTGGTATTTTGTTCTGTCAGCCTGGGCAGACTGATGCACCAGATAGCCCAAACCCACAGTGATGCAGTGGGTAGCTCAGGAAGGTCCAGGGAATGGCACTAGAGGCCAGAACTTTGGGCCAGTGGTCCTCAGGAGCTCCAGTCCGACAGCATCAGTAGGCTGACCGCACACCCTCTGGAATGCAGCTGGCAAGTAACCCACAGGAGACGGGAAACAGTGGGGGGTTGGGCCTCAGAGCCAGGCAGAGTCCCGGCCCCACAGGCCAAGGACAGGCGCCAACAGCACTGAAGCGGACTTCAAAGATGGTGCTCCATGGGGAGGTTTTATGAAGGTCATGAGGACTGAAAAATCACCCCCAGGGGCCTCTTCTGAACTGGAAGTGGGAACAGGAAATAGCTAGATGAGATTCATCTTGGAAAAATGCAAGCTCATACATCTGGGTAAAACTATTCCAAAACACAGCATGAGAAAGCACAGTGCAGAACACAAGGGAGGACTGCAACCCTCAGGGCCGCTGAGAGGGCCCAGCCAGGAGATCACCTGTGCAGCCTCTGACTTTTTTTGGGGGGTGGTCTCAGCGTGGGCAGCAGGGGGCTGGGGACTTAGAAATCTGGGAACCCCAAGCCAGGTTTATTGGCGATAGAGGGCTGAGGTCTCCGCTTCCCAGCTGGATGGACAGTGACCTGGTGGTCCAGGGAGGGGAGGAGAGGAGCACGCCAACCATCGATGCTGTGGCTTTGCCCACCTGTGCCCAGGCCTCCACTCAGTGGGCACTGAGGATCACCCCTCACAAAACGTCCCTGGGCCTGTGGAAATCCTCATTTTTGCAAGTTGCCCAGTGTTTTAAGTATTCAGGCATGATGGGTCATTAAAAGCTGCCTCTGGGGCTTCCCTGGTGGCGCAGTGGTTGGGAGTCCGCCTGCCGTTGCAGGGGACACGGGTTCGTGCCCCGGTCCGATCCCACATGCCGCGGAGCAGCTGGGCCCGTGAGCCATGGCTCCCGAGCCTGCGCGTCCGGAGCCTGTGCTCCGCAACGGGAGGGGCCACAGCGGTGAGAGGCCCGTGTACCGCAAAAAAAAAAAAAGCTGCCTCTGCAGCCCCAAGAGAGAACCCAGGTGCCTGGGATGGAGACAGAGGCCATCAAGAAGAATGGAAATTGTTTCAGGGGATAGGCTGCTGCTCTCTGAGGAAAGGCAGAACCCACAGATGGGGAACACGGAGAGAGAGCCTGGGAGCTCCCCCTTCCCAGATGGCAGGAGGAGAAACGAGCACAGGAAATGAGAGAGGGGCCACATCCCAGGCCTCCCAGCCAGAGTGTGTGTCCTGGGCCCAGGAGGGCAGGTCGGGAGCTGGTGTGGAGGCTGAGAGGAGGCCTGGGCTGAGGCACCAGCCTGCTTCAGCCCTGTGCCACAGGCAGGGAAGACTGAGGAGATCACATAGCATAACAAAGAGATTCCAAAGCGTAGTGTCTGAAAATATGAGAGACATACAGGAAGACTCGATGTTGTCAAGATGTCAGCTTTCCCAACCTGGTCTAGGGATTCAACACAATACCAATCTTGGAAAAGGAATTGCTGGGTGAGATTTTTGTTTTCATTTTGTTGGCTATGGTTGCTAAATTGGCTTCCAAAAAGTCCCTCCTACAATCTGCCAGTTCCCTCATGTGTGATCAATTTTGTAAATGTCGGATAATGCGATAAGTGAAGATACTCTCATTTAAGTTTGCCCTTCCCTGATTGGACGAGTCAGGGAATCGGATATGTTTTGAGTAGCATTTCCTCTGTAAATTGCCTACTGGTGTTCTTGCTTGTCGTCTTTTCCTTATTAATCCGTGGACAATTTCATAATTACAGGAATTAGATTTAAATTCAAAATGTGTCACACTCTTCCCCTGGTTTGCCTTTTAATGTTTAAATACATTTTAAATTTGTATGTCTTCAAGTTTATCATTCTTTTCCTTTAGTGTCTCCAGGTTTATTGTGATACTTTAGACCATAAAAACATTCATCGACTCCCCAGTACATTTTGTTTTCTTTTTTAGATTTTAATATTTGATCCATCTGGATTTTATTTTGGTGTTAAACAGTAAGGGAGGGATCCAACTTCCATTTTTCCAAATGGCCGGCCAGTCGTCCTTAACGCCATTCAATTGAGAAAGACTGAAAACCCGTTCCAGGGGTTTGAAGCGGTCGCTCCACCAGCACGCTCACTCGCGCATCTGCCCGGGCCCGTGATCCAGGGGCCCCGCGCCGCCAGGTTTCCGGGGCCCATCGGTCCAGCCCGACACAGTCGGAGCGGGCGAATAGCAGGGGCTGGGGCGGATACTCCTCTCCGGCTGAGAACGGATCCCCCTCCTACCCGCCAAGGACCCACCACTAACATCCCCCTCCCCCCACGCGCTGAGGACGGATCCCCGGATACCCCCACCTCGATCTCCCCTCTTAGCCTCCGAGGACGACTTTCCTAACCTCCGCCTCCTCCCTCCCAGCTCCTGCCCGCTTTACCCAACCCCCCTACCCTCTACCCCAGTCTCTCCTCCCGGGTGGTCCCAAGGATGGGACGGGACTTTCCGCGAGTGTAATTTAAATAAAAGGCGTGTGCTCTGGTTGTATTTGCATAGAGGCGGGGCCTCTGGCTCTGAGAGGCCGGAACACCCAATCAGGTGGAACCTCGGGACCACTACCTCGCTCCAAACGACCCTGGGGACGAAATCCGCCCAGAGACTTAATTTGCATGGGGCGCGGCCTGCCTCTTTGAGTGGCCGGGCGCCACTTCCCCTTCCAGTCGGCTTCCGCCCGCTGGCTTCCGCCCGCTGGCTTCCGGCTTCCGTGCGGCTTCCGCCCGCCTTCCGCCCGCCTTCCTTCCGGCTTCTGTCCAGTTTCCCTCTGCCTTCACCGGGCGCCGCCCGCGGCCAGGGGACGAAAGCTACCAAAACGGCGGCGAGCGCGGGTCGGGCCCCCGGACACCGCTCTCTCCTCCGCGGCACGCTTCCGTGGGGTCACTGTCTACCTGGCTGAGCCACGCATGGGCCGCAACCGCCGGGCCTTCCTCACACGCCTGGCTCTCTCCAAGGGCTTCCGCGTCCTGGACGCCTACAGGTGCGCGGTCGTGGCGAAGCCCGCCGCTAGGCGAGGCCACCTTCCTAGGGCCGACCTTTCCGAGGGGCGCGGGGCGGGTCCGGCGCCCACGGCCTCGCCTCACCGGGGAACGTGGCACGCCCGTATAGGTATCGCCATGCCGTCGCGCCGGGTGGGCCGGGGGATGCTGCTGAGTGGCGTGATGGCCTGAGCACAGATGCCCGTGCTCGGAACTTTGCAGCTGACCAGCTACATTCACGTATGGTGTTTCCTTAACTGCTGAGGATATTGAGATCTGAAACGACTCCCACGCAGCTGACCCCGGAGCGGAGGGGCACCTGAGGTGTTTGGATTCCAAGTTAGCCCTGGCACTTCATGGTCATATAGCCTTCCTGTCAATTTCCTCTTTTGTAAAAGGTGTTAGCAGTTAGGGCCAGGAGTGTTTCTGTAGGACAAGGGGAGAATGTATACCGGAGGCTTTATAAAGGGCCATGTGAGTGTAGCGGTGGTTAACAGCCCTTCCTTAGGTGAATTCATCTTGTCCTGTTAGCTAAACTGATTTCTCTCCTCAGGGCTGAGAAAGTGACTTGAGTGAGGCTCAAAGAGTAGAATAAAACCAAACAAAACCAAAACCACTACAGAAGCAATGCTGAAAGTAAGGGAGGAGGGTTGCCATGGTTTTGAAGTTGAAAGAGCGTGAATCAGGGGCCAGTCCCCCTGAAGCTTAGTTAACCATTCCCAGGGGTGCAGCAGACCCACTCAGGAGAGGATGATGACCACAGCCTAGAGTGTACTGGGCACTATCTAAGCCGTTTTGCTTATTAGCTCATTTAATCTTTACAGCAACCCTGCAAAGTAGATATGTTATTATCTCTGCTCTGTGGATGATGCAATCAAAGTACAGAGATAAGTGATGTGCCCAAGGGCACACAGCAAGTGTGTGGCAGAGCTGAGGTTCAAACCCAAGCGGTCTGTCTCCAGCACTTTGATGAAGACCCCCTCCTGGTCCTGGCCTCTGTACCCCTGGCCTCTCCTTCCTCTGGGGTTGCAGGGAGAGGGAGACAGACAAGTTAACACAAAAAAGGGTTGGTCTTGTCATCATAGCTAGAGCCGAGAACCGCACACAGCTCTGCAGATGCTGGAGTGGTGGAGATGTTTGTCTGCCAGGAGGAGTGGCTGGGAGGTCTTTCTGAAGAATGAATAGGTGGTGGTCACCAGGCAGAGGGGATAGTAACAGCAAAGGCCTGGAGGCATGGAGTGCAGCAGGAAGAATGGCAGGTCTGGGAAAGGGCTCTGGACCTCACTTCCTTTTCCCTCCGCCCAGCTCAGAGGTGACACACGTCATGATGGAGGGGACCTCAGCAGAGGAGGCCGTCTGCCAGCAGGAGCGCAGGACAGTGGCCCTTCACCCAGGATGCACCCGCCCAGTGCTCTTAGACGTAAGCTGGTTCACGGAGAGCATGGCGGCTGGGCAGCCTGTCCCTGTGGGGTGCTGGCACTGCCTGGAGGTGAGCTGGGTGAAGGATGAGGGTGGGGCCCCAGAGAAGGCGCCAGCGCAGGCCGGAGCTCAGCTGGGACAGGTGACACCAGATGACACGGCAGCGGTGCCTCAGTGTCCTGCACATGAGGTGGGCGGTGAAGGCTCAGCCCAGACCACCAAGGGGCCCTGGGAAGCCAGGCCGTTCCCGCTTCTCCTCTCACCATTGGTGCAAACTCTCTTGAGATCCACTTATTTTTAGCATCTTTAGGCCTTTTTTCGCTTACCAAGTGGATGAGACTGTGACCCCAAGTGAGGCCAGCAGGAGGCCGTCCTCGGGGTGCTGTGAGGTTCATGGCCTCTGCCCACCTCAGTCCTTCCTGGGTGAGCATAGCTGGGGGCTGCAAGTGTGGGCTCAGAGCAGGGCTACCCGCATTCAGATCCTGACTCTGCCTCTGAGCCACGAGGCCTCGGTGTCCCCGTCTGTGAAGTGGGGATGATAGGCACCCCAGCCCACTTGTATACAGCATGTGCAGTGGCAGGTGGTGCCACTCCTGCCGCTCTGGCCTCTGCAGGGCGATACCGCCTCTGCCCCGTGCCTCTGGCAGTTTTGCCCTCTGAGAGTCAGCCCCTTCTGTCCCGAGAGCCCTAGTTGACCACCCAGGAGAGGCAGGGCTCCGGGGAGCTTCCTTGGCCCCTGCCCACCCTGCAGCCTCGAAGCGGCCTGTATATTGCCCTTCCCCAGGTGGCTGTGTGTGGGAAGGGGCCGCCACGCCCAGCATGGAGGCTGTCCTGTGCCTGCCAGCGGCCCACACCCCTCACGTACCACAACGCCGGCCTCTCGGTGAGCCCTGGGTCCCCTGCTTCCCCGGGCCCTCCCGTGTCCCAGCCTTGGAGGGAGGGGTGGGGTGAGGTACCCCACCATCCCTGACCCTCCCCAAGGGCCCCTCCCTGCAGGAGGCTCTGGAGATGCTGGCGGAGGCCGCGGGCTTCGCCGGCAGTGAGGGCCGCCAACTCTCCTTGTACAGAGCGGCCTCAGCGCTCAAGGCCCTTCCCAGCCTGGTCACGGCCCTGAGCCAGCTGCGTGGCCTGGCCCACTTTGGAGAACACTCGTGCAGGGTCGTCCAGGTTGGTGCTCCCCGCACTTAGCAGGGCGGGGTGGGGAGGAGGCGAGGGGGCCTCAGGGCCTGGCGAGGGCGGGTGGCTTGGTGGCTCAGAGCCCAGCTGCAGCCAGCCACCCTCTTCACTCAGATTCCTCACGTGTAAATTGGGGCCACAGCACCTGCCCTAGGGGGACTGAGGGGATTCAGCCAAGGGAGCTGCCGGGAGCCTGGCAGGCTGGTAGCTGGCACCACTTTGATCAGCTCAGACTGTCCAGGGTGGTGGAAGAGGACTCCTGAGCATGCACACCTCTTTTTACAATGCGAAGTATTTGAGGACCCAAATGTGAAGTTGTCCTTTTGTACCCTTACCGCTGACCGAATGTATCACGATGGAAAAGATACTTCTGAATTCGCTTATGCTTTTAAATGAAGTCTTGTTGAATTCACCTATGTTTTAAAAGCAGTTGTTTACGTATCCGGGGCTTGTTATTTATCTGAGAGGTGGCCCACGTTCCCCGCCCTAGGAGCTTGGAGGCTCCCTGGGCACAGTCTTCATTTCCAAGTCCCCCGAGATTCTGCTCCCACAAAGCCCCCCTGCTGGGCCTTGGGTCCCCAGCTCTCCTCTTTCCAGTCAGGCTTTGTCTTCTCCCACAGGAGCTGCTGGAACGCGGAGTGTGTGAGGAGGTGGAGAGAGTCCGGCTCTTGGAGAGGTACCAGGCCATGAAGGTATGCAGGGAAGCCCCCGGCAGGGGCACGGAGCTCAACGGTCCTCCTCGGTTCACGCCATGTCAGGTGGCAAGCGGGGGTGGTGGGTCCCCCCCAGGGTCAGAGAAGGTCTCACTGAGGAACTGGCAGCTCAGCCGACACCCGATATACACGAGGCAGCTAAATGGAGGCAGACGAGAAGCTTGTTTTGAGCACAGGGAATTTTCTAGATCACTCGGCACCATCTGTTCTTATTTGACTATTGATGGTATATTCTCAAGTATATCACATGCTCTGGCCTTTTACACAGAGCATACTGAACAAAACAGATCCTTTTTCCGGGTGCCACGGGGACTGTTAAATCTGTGGGGCTGCTCACCCTCGCAGGGTCTCCACCTTTGTGATCTCACATACTCATTTTCTTGGTGGCGTCCTGCCTGTGTCCACGGCACACCTTCCCGCTGGTCCTGCCCATTTCCGGTCTGATAACGGAGCCGCGAGAGCTCTTGTGGATGCCTCGGTCGGGCCCCTCAGACACCCCGGTTTTGTGGCTGGAGGTTGTCAGATCAGCGACTGGTCAGGGAACGGGGGGCTTCAAAAAGGGAGAGGAGCCCTGTGTGAAGGACGGGGGGGCGGGAGGCTCAGGGTTGTGGAGGCAGCACAGGAATTAGTGGCTGGAGAAACGCTAAGAGAGGGCAGAGCCATCTGCTACCTCCTCTGGGGTACCCCTGAGTCCCAGAAGGCATCCAGGCCAGGAGAGAAGTACGTGAACAGTTAGAAGTTTACTGTTATAAACAACATGATTAGGTTATTCTCAGCATCTTTCCCATCCAGTTCATGCTCTTGGTTCAGGGGATCTAGGGAAGGATGGCCAGCACAGTCCCAAAAGGGCAGGCTACAGCTGGTCTGCAGGAAGTGGGGCTCAGGGACACGAGTGCCACCCAGCTGTTCTTCCTCCCCTGGGCCTGCTCTTCTGTTTCAGAAGTCCCCGGGGAAGGGCTGGCCTAGGGCAAGTGCCCACCCCTGTCCAACGAGCTATAGTCAAGGAAGAAACAGGTGAGTTGCTAGCGCCCACCCTGTGTGTGGGATACCCATGTGAGGGCAGCTGGCCACCCCACGAGAGGTCAGCTCCAGCAGCATAGTTAGTTTCCACTGGCCTGGACGTCTCTGCTGACCCGTGGCCAGGCAGTGGCAATTGTCGTGTTTGAACCTGGAACAGAGCCCCAGCCAGCCCTAACCTGTTCCTTCCAGATCCTGCTAAAACAACCCCCTGGCTGTTAACTGCTCTTTTTTGCTGCCTGTTAAGAGGCAGAGCCACAGTAATAAGTCCCAGCTGCTGTTGGGTGGGATGATATGGTTTTCCCAGTGAATGGACGGACTGTCAGGACGCCTACTTTGGTGGTGTTGGAATCATAGGCTAGAACTGTACAAGTTCTGGGGAGAGACCCTGCTTGAGGAGGGGACCGAGGCCTGGGGAGGGAGCACGTGGGGTCTTTCCCTACCGTCCCCTGTGAGGGTGGGCTGTGTAGGCCAGGCTCGGGGTTTGAGTCCTGCCTGTGCACTCGCTGTGTGGCCTTGAGCAGGTTGCTTAAACTTGAAGAATGTGAGTGGGGATGCCACTTGCCTGGCCAGACGATGACTTAATGAGGCCACTTGTGTAACGGAGCAGTGGTGCTGTCCTGGGACACGCCTTGCACAGATCAATGTCGTCATCTGCATCTCGCTGTAAGAGCTTGCTCCTGGACCAAGTGTGCTGTGCTCATCCTCCGAACAGCTCTTCACTCAGATCTTTGGGGTCGGGGTAAGGACCGCTGACCGGTGGTACCGGGAGGGGCTGCGGACGCTGGACGACCTCCGAGAGCAACCCCAGAGACTGACCCAGCAGCAGAGAGCAGGTGAGCCCTCTGGGAGCGCTGGGCCCTGGGCTTCCCCAAAGCACCTGTGCCTGAAAGCCTCCCACACCACGGAGCCCTTAGCTCTGACGCATGGCATGTGCTCGTGGCTGCCTTTGTGTCAGGGAACGGGGTGAGTGTGAAGACGGGCATCTTTATTTGGTGGGCTTCCTGACCCAGTGGAGTCAGGACCTGGTGCAGCCCCTTCTCAGTGAACGATAATGGTCAGAGTAGCTGCCGTGACATTCAGGACTTTCTGGTTAGACTTGGACCTGGACCAGGCACGTACCCCTTACTCCTGATTCCGTAGAGGGGAGGGCATGTCAGAGCAGCCCGGGCCCTGGGCACACTTGCTTGTGTGCTGCTTGGCGCCTTGGCCCACTGGCTGATGGCGTGGGGACCTGTGCTCAGCGGGGAGAGGCTCAGTGAGGAGCCTTCTAGTGGGAGGTGGCGCCAAGCGTTGGAGAGAATGTGAACTTGACAGTTTGTCAGTCCTGGGTTTGAGTCCCATCTCTGCTGCTTACTAGGTAGGAGACCGTGGCCCTGAGTCTTGACTTCTCTGAGCCTGAATTATGTTCTCTATAAAGCATGGGATCCCGTGAGCTCCTTGGCGTGAGGCCAGCAGGTCGCAGGTGTTGAGCAGACTCTCCGTTCTCCCCATGTGGCCTGGATCTGGGACCCTGCTGAAGGAGCCCCACAGCCCAGCACTCGTTGCCTCTTTGAACATCTTACCGGGGGCTGGGGGAGGGGAGGCCAGCTGAGGGTCCTGGGAGAGTCTCCTGGCCGGTCAGCAGGCAGTGAGACCACAGAGCCGTGCGTCCGGTGGAGCGTGATGGTGGCATCCGTCGGTTCCGTTCAGTGTTCTCTCCCCGCAGGAGAGGCCCGCAGCGCTTACTGAGCGGGCATCCTGGCCGCGGCCGTTTATTCCCGCACGTAAACCTCTCCTAACTGTGTGTGTGGAAGGCCCAGTGACCCCTCTGACAGGGGAGGAGGTGGGCGCGGGCTAGAGCGAGGTGTTGTTAAGCGGCAGAGCTATCTTCCCATCTCTTTATCACCTCCTGGCCCCGTTTTATGGATGGGAAAACCGAGGCGTTGAAAGGGATAGTCTATATCTTGATTGTGTCAACATCAGAATTCTGGTGTGACTTACAGTAGTTCTGCAAGATGTTACCGCTGGGGGGAACTGGGCAGAGGGCACAGGGGACCTCTGTTATTTCCTTCAGCTGTATGTGAGCCTACAGTTATTTCAAAATAAGCTTTTGATATTTAAGGGAGAAGAGGGGGTAGTGGGAGACAGCTAGAGAGTGCCGGGCTGGGCAGGTCAGGAGAGCTGTGCTGCCCACAGGACTCCAGCACCACCAGGACCTGAGCACCCCGATCCTGCGGTCAGATGTGGAGACCCTGCAGCAGGTGGTGGAGGCAGCCATGGGGCAGGCCCTTCCTGGGGCCACGGTCACGCTGACCGGCAGCTTCTGGAAGTCAGGGGGCTCCACATGCCCTCCGGCTCAGCTCCAGGCCCTTCCCAGTGAAGGTGTCTGAGGCGGGACCACTGATGTGGGCCTTCCCTCACTGAAGGGACTCGGGAGAACACGGAGGCTGAGAGTCAGACTGGCCCCCTCAGGGCCATGACATGGACTTCCTCATCACCCACCCCCAGGAGGGCCGAGAGGCAGGGCTGCTGCACAGAGTGATGTGCTGCCTGAAGAAGCAGGTGAGGGGCTCCCTGCTCCCCGCGCTGACGGTCCTGCCAGGATCCTGGCTCCTGTCCCAGCCCCACATGGCGGTGCCTGGCCATGTCTGCTCTCCCCTAGGACCTTGTCCTGTACCGCCAGCACCAGTGCAGCCGGCAGGCAGACGACCCCACCCACCTGCCCTGGCAGAGCCACACCATGGATGCCTTCAAGGGGACTTTCTGCATTTTCCACCTGCCACAACCCCCAGGGGATGCTGTAGCGGCACCCAGAGGCCCTGCCCCACCCTGACCACCTGGTGGTCACCCCCATCAGCCAGTTCCCCTCTGCTCTACTCGGCTGGACTGGCTCCAAGGTAGGGAGTGTGCTGCTGCGGCCACCCTGGGGTCTGGGGTTGGTGGCCCTGCTGAGGCAGTCACTCTTCCCCCAGCGTTTCGAGCGGGAGCCACGCCGCTTCAGCTGGAAGGAGAGCCGGGAGGGCTCTGGCTGAACAGCCGTGGTCTGTCTGATCCGGGGCAGGTGTGTTGCTGGGACGGGAGGCCTGGGTGGGGAAAACGGCTCTCTGCCCGGCCCACAGTCTGCATCGGCCCCAGGGCCCTCCAGCCTGGGACCCACAGGGCCCTCAAGAAGCACCCCACCGCGGGGCTGGGCTCTGCCTGCCCTTCCATCTCCTCGCCACACCTGTCTCCGGGAAGCTGCCGCGGTGGTGGAGTGGCTCCCAAGCACTCATGCTTGCACTCTGTTGCAGAAGACCTTTCTCCACGTGGCTTCAGAGGAAGACGTCTTCAGACTCTTGGGCCTTGAGTACCTTCCCCCCCAGCAGAGAAACGCCTGATCCTATTAGCTGGCCCCCACTTCCGCTCTCTGGAAATGGAGGGTGCCATTTGAGCCAGACGCTGTGGGTGTTCCGGTCCCTGAATGTTTCCAGGTGGAAGATGCACTGCTGCCCCAAGTCCTCACCCCTCCCAAATGGGAGCCCTGTCTGTGTGGACCACCAGCCCCCCACATACACCCAGTTCAAGCTGTCATGAAATGAGCATGTGGAACAAACTAAGCTGTATTTTCTGAACGTGTTGCTGGTGTGGGTGACCGGGGAGCATGGGCATTGGTTCTGCCCAGAGGTCAGCTACGGGGGTGCTGGTGAGGGTGGGGGATGTGGACCTAAGACAAATAGACTTCCAGTTATTTCTCCAACAAAAACAGGTTTATTCAGGATCAGCAGAGAATGGGTCTGCAACCGTGGCAAGCCATGTGCAAGTCCCCAGCAAAAATGTAAAGGAAAACGCTTTTACAGAGGGGAAAAGGGATTTGGGAAGGCTACAGTAAACAAGAGCCCATGGCTTCTCACTGGCCAGTCCTCGTCAGGAACGAAGAGGAGATCTTTCCTTCTGCTGGGCTCTGCTACCATCACAGGGCATGAGCCCTCCCCCTTCTGGTCTCCCAGCTCTTGAGGTCTCTGTTTATTAATGTTTTTACACTTCCCTTTTAAATCAAGACGTTTCTCTGAAAGCATCACTAATCTGAGTCAGGCTTTCCAGTTTCAGGCTCTTTTTGTCCCTCAATACAAGGAAGGACCTTTCCTGGGTGTAGTGTCCCACATCAGAGGGAAAGTGCACAGACTGGAGATCTATTGAGGTCATATTTAAGTAACAAGGAGGGGTAGGAGGGACAACTCTTAGGCACTTTTCATCTGAAGTCCGTGTGTTACCAAGATCCTAAATGATAGAGATTATCTGAAGCCTTATGTAATCAAAGGTTTGGTGACAAAATTCCAACAGGCCTAGTCTGAATATCTTTGGAAAGCTGGCTCATCGGATGTCGTCTGCTTCAGTTCAGGGAAATCTTTATTTTCAGGTCACCAGGTGATTTTCAGGTCCAGACAGGGTTTGGTGCTTTCTTTAGGTGTGTCATGTGAATCCAAGAGTTGTATTCCTTGGAGTTTTGCAGCACAAGGGTTGGTTAGCAGTACCTGATAGCAGCCTTTCCAGCAAGGTTGAAGAGAGTCCTTCTGGAGGTGTCTTTTCCAATAGATGAAATCTCCAGGTTGCAAGGTGTGATGTTTAAGGTCTTCATCTCCCAAGAGTGCACTGTGAAAAGGTTGCTTACCAAAACATGGTTTTTTTTTTTTGCAGTACGTGGGCCTCTCACTGTCGTGGCCTCTCCCGTTGCGGAGCACAGGCTCCGGACGCGCAGGCTCAGCGGCCATGGCTCACGGGCCCAGCCGCTCCGCGGCATGTGGGGTCTTCCTGGACCGGGGCACGAACCTGCGTCCCCTGCATCGGCAGGCGGACTCTCAACCACTGCGCCACCAGGGAAGCCCAACATGGTTATTTTTAATAGAAGCAATTAGGCCTTTGCGGTATTGGAGTATCTCTCTTTTTATTGGTTGTGGGTCAAAAGAGGCAGGAGCCAAGTGCACTGGGCATCCTGTGACTACCTCAAAGGGTGTAAAAGTTCCCAAAGAGGTGGGTCTATGATTTACAAGGACCCACAGCAATGCTTTTGACCAAGGTATTTGGAGGGCCTCTACACGTTTTGCCAGTTGAGTCTTAATAATGCTGTTAGTGTGTTTGACCAAACCAGAGGATTGGGGGTGGTAAGTGCAGTGAAAGTGTTGTAAAACCGGCCAAACAGCACCGACTTTTTGAAGCACCTGGCCAGTGAAATGGGTTCCTCTGTCATGAAGTTGAAGCGGAGTTCTCCAGGTAGGGATAATCTTTTCCAAAGCACTTCAGTCCCAGAAGAGGCAGTAACCTATCTGCAAGGGAAAGCTCCAGTCCAATGTGAAAACATACATACCATGACTAAAACATACTTACATCCATGAAGTGGAGGAAATTGTATGAAATCCATTTGCCAGATCTCAAATGATCCATCAGGCAATTTAAAATGTCCAGGAGCAGTACAAACAGACTTCCCTGGGTTGTACTTTAGGCGAGGGGAACAATGAGTAGGTGCTTTCTGTGGCGTTGTTAGTGTTTCCCCACCAATACTGACTCATGAAGGCTATCATTTTGTTAGGCCAGTGGTTTAATGCATGTACAGTGGTGAGGAGTGGGTAGGACTGGGTTGTTACTTGGCCTGAACCAGAGCTTTCTCTTTTTTATCAAACCAACAGTCGTTGAATTCCCAACCTTGTTTTTCTTTCCCTGAGGCCAGTTTTTGGGCTTCCCGAGCCAGTTTTTAAAGGTATCACTTGAGGAAATATCCCTTTGGACCATGACAGAAGTTTAGCTGCTGTGGTTCCTTTAAAGGTGGAATTCCTTGCAGAAATTTCAGCAAGGTGATTTACCTTAGCTTCCAGAGAGTCCAGTTTAGAATGCCCTGGAATCTTACTAATAACTCAAGGGTGGATAAAAGTGTTGCATCCAATAATTCCTGAACACGGGGGCCATTTTACATTTTATTTCTGCTGGAAATAGGGAAGCCACATTGCTTCCACAACATTCCAAAATCACAAGCTACTCCGAAAACGTATCTACTATCGATATAGATATTGGCAGTTCTGTCCTTGGCTAAAGTACAAGCCTGTGTGAGAGCATATCATTCAGCCTGTTGGGCCAAAGTAGCCGTAGGTAAAGATGCTGCCTCAACAACATCAAAAGAAGTTGCAGTAACATCTCCAGCACAATATCTGCCATTGTCCCTTTTAAATAAGAACCATCAGTGAACGTGAGAAGTCAGTGTTACCGACTGAAATTTCCTAGACATCATTATGAGGAGTCAGGAGGTGGTCTGTCAGGGTTAAGTAGTTGTGAGGGACTTCCTCAGTGACAGAGGAGAGAAGAGAAGCAGGGTTAAGGTTATTACAACGTAGAAGAGTTATGTGAAGAGCAGCTGACAAAAGGACTCCAAAGGAGGTGAGACGGCTGACTGAGAAATGTTGAGTGTGATGAGAATTCAGGAGGGCTATTGCATGAGGTCCAGAAATGATTAAAGGAGATCCCACAAAGATTTTCTCAGCGGCCTTAACCACAGGGGCGGTGACCGTGATGGTTCGAGGCGAGAGGGGTATTTCCGTGTTACAGGGTCCAGTTGCTGGCCATGATACCCTATGGGTCGACGGTGGTCTCCATGTTTTTGGGTGAGTATCCCAAGGGCATCCCGTTCTTTTTCGTATACAAAAAGGGAATCTGATCATTGGGATGCCTAAGGGCAGGTGGGTTCTTCAAACTCTCCTTTAAGTCCTTAAAATCTGTGTATCTGGTTCTTCCCATAAAATTGGATTAGAGTTGTGCTTCATTAAAACATACAGAGGTTTGGCCACGAGAGAGAAATTTGGAACTCAATTTTGGCAATAACCAACTAGCCCAAGAAAACCTTACAGTTGGTGCTTAGTTTTGGCTTTAGAGAAACTTAGGACACCAGGAAGTCTGTCTGGAACTAAGTGTAGCCCTTGTTCTGATATCAGATGCCGTAAACAATGAACCTGGGTTTGGGGCAAACTGCAATTTATCCTCACTGCCGTATGTCCCTTTAAGGCTGAAATTGTTAGCAGGTGGATGATGACTTCCTGTGAGGAGGTTTGAGAAAGAGCAAAGAAGCGAATCATCCACATATTGAAGCAAAGTAGAACCTCTAGGGAACTTTGTATCATCCAAATCAGCCTTCAGGAATTATGAGAAATAAGGATTCTAAGTAAAACCATGAGGTATTACTGTCCAGGTGAATAGATTTTCTTCTCAGGTGAAGGCAAAAAGTTATTCGCTAGGTCCAACCGGAATGTTACAGCATGCACTGCCTAAATCAAGTTACAGTAAAGAATTTACCTCCTATGGGAATGACTGTTAGGAACATATGAAAGGAGCAACAGGGTGTCAAGGGATAGCTATGTTGTTTATTACTTGGAGGTCCTGGACAAACCTACACCCTTGGCTTTTAGGTTTCCTCATCTGTAAAATGGGAGTATTACAAGGGCTAGTACAAGGACTAATGAGGCCCTCAACCTTGTAATCTTCAATTACGGGCTTTATGCCTGGGATGGCTTCTTTACTTATACATTGTCAATTCTGGGAAGAGATTTTGAGAGATCTGTTTGAATCTCGATGGGAGATGTGCTGTGATTTTTGCCAGTATCAGTGGAGATTTTGCCCATAAAAAGGATGGTAGCTGATTCAATAGGGACAAATGATCTGTTTCCAGAATCAGCTCTAGTATCATCAGAGATGGAGCAAATAAAAGATATCAAAGAGTCGTTTAATTCACATTGTTGTTTACTCTGATGACTACTGTCAAATTCTGGAATTATTTCCCCCTTTTGGGAGAAAGAACTTCTGGCCCGATGCTTCTCTAAGAAGTCTCGGCATAGTAAATGGATAGAGGTGGAGGAACTAAGAAGAAAAGTGTGTGTATCTCTCAGAGGGCCTAAACAGAGTGGAATAGGTGCAGAGACAGGAGCCTGTTGAGGTTCACTGGAGATCCCCACTATTTGAACTGTTTACTCTGAGGCAGGGGCTGCTTTATAGTAGTGGGGCTGAGCCTCGAGAGTGTGGCTCCAAGTGTCAATTAGGACTGAAGAGATTTGCCCCCAATCTGGAGAAATGTTTCTCTAAGCCGGTTAAGAGGGAGGATTGAGAGGAGCCCCGTTGTGGAGAATTGGGAGGACGATGGAAAAGCTGGTTAGAAGACTGAAGGTGCCTGAAGCACTTAAATTTGTAAAATCTCTTTTCCAAAGTCTAGGCTCTTTGCAACAATAGCAGAAACTAGGACCTAAACTAGGGCCTGTTTGTTTGACTTAAAACAAATAGGAGGGTCTTGGTTTCATTTAGGAGCCTTCATTTGCTGGAGTTGAAGATAAAGGATTTTAGCTGTCTCCCTTTTAGGTGACTCCTCTAA